ATAGTTGTAGACAATTAGGGCACAATTGTGGGACTGCCCAAAAATGAAATTGTGTCCACATTGTGCTTTAGACTTTGTGAAATGGATGGAAGTAGAAAAGTAGACCGGAAACATTGGTCGGTTATTCCTTTGTTGCCCTAGCGGTTGCGGCTTTTTCATATGGTTCAAGATGCGTCTGTTCAAGAAAAACTAATTCTACACATCCAATTGAAGATCTGTCGTGCATGCTCAAACATTTCGCTAAAATTGCCGAACAAGAGGAAGTGGACATATCCCTAAACATAACCATCTGCAAGGGAAAGAGAGATATCGAAGAGAATGGGAAACAAAAGAGAAGAGATTTGTGAACGTATTCTACATTCGTACTTGATGATAAGATTTATTTTTTAATTTTATATTTATGTAATTAGAACTAGACTCCAATTTCAGTTGTGCTTATGTGTGTCGTTGATGTTAACACTTTTAGTTGTTTGTAGCTTAAAGTAATTGTGGTATCCTGACAATCATTTGTAGAAATTTGCTTTAATTACTAACATAATTTTTCTTAAGTATGGTCAATATCTCAACCTAATTCAATTCCCTCCATCACATTTTTATGTAGCCGAAAAGTTGTGTCTTAAATAGATACAACCCATTTAGACATGCATTTCAACTACCAGTTCCTAGAAGACGCCATGTGTTGCTTATAGAAAATTTGGGAAAAAAATAAAAAACATAAATAAATATATTATTATTTTAAATAATAATAAAATAAAATAATTCAAATATTATTTTACCAAAAAATATATACCAACTTGGCCCAAATCAAAGTCGAAGCCCATGACCAGCTCACTTGCCGAGTCGAGCCAACCGATCGGACGGACGGCAACAGCGACACGCGTGGGTTTTGGCTCAACCTATTAACATGTAGGTCTTCTCCCCTTCAAATACTATTGATATCTATTGAGGCTTAAACCCAAGTCCCAAACTTAAACAATATATTATGCTAGTTTTCCTATGTGAGATTGTCATTTTTCAATTTTTTTTACCAATTTTTATTTTCAATTTATTTCAACTTCAAGTGGTAATCATTTGATCTTAAATTTTCATTCACCCTAAATTGGTTTTGAGAAAATAAATTCATTATATTAATTTACTCATGGAGTAAAACACACTTAGCCAAAAAAATCTTTGTCCAACTAATGGGACCCACTAAAATAATTGGTCAAAGTTGGTCAAACCAACTAATTAAAACCAAAATTTCAACATCTCCCACATGAATGAAAATTAATGCAATAGACTATGCAGACCCTATAGAGAGATTATGCGGAATGCTATTGCAATCGGATAGGTACCTTATGTGTTTGAACATTTCGTAGTAGAATACTATTAGATTTACTTGGCTAATCAGTAAATGGAGTGTCTTGAACTGTTAGTCGTTGGTGTAAACCTAGATAATAGCATCAACACAATAATCTTCCTAACATTTTCGAGTTCTTATTGATGTGTTGATTTTGCCTCTGAACAACTCTTGGATTTCACAGTGCTTTAGAGAATTCAAGCATTTGAAACATTCTCATAGAAATGATCCAACTTCACACTTGTATATGTGATCTCCTATTAAGATTACATGTCATACCTCACTTTAATAGTCCAAGATATATGAATTATTAAAGTAGGAATGTGTATGAGTTAACTCCGTAGTGCTCTTTGAATCTTCAGAACTCAATTGTCCCATTGAACAAAGATTTTGAATCTTTAGTTAGCAATGTTGGATTACCATTACAAAGATCCTTACGTAATAGACTTTAAGCTCATTGCATTTGATAGGTAGCATATTGGATCTCTTGATAAGCCTTTGGTAAGCGGATCTGTGAGATTTTCTATATACTTTACGTAATCTATGGAAATAACACTATTTGAGATTAACTGCTTAATTATTCTATGTCTTCGATGAATATGTCGAGACTTACCATTATACATACTACTTTGTGCTCTATCGATAACCGACTGACTATTACAATGCATACTAATTGCAGGCATATGTTTAGGCTAACATAGAATATCCTCTAAAAAACCATGAAGCCATTCTACTTTCTCTTCAACTTTATCTAAACTTATGAACCTAGATTCTACCTTGGATTGAGCTATACATATTTGTTTAGAGGATTTTCAAGATATGGCACCAGCAATGGTAAATACATACCCGCTAGTGAATTTTGAGTTTTTTGGTATTTGATATCTAAATAGAATCACCGTATCCTTCTAATAAACTTGGATATCTAATATAATGTAATTCAATATTTGAGGTGTATCGTAAATTTCTAAGAACCCTTACCAGTGCCTTCTAATGGTCATTATTTGGGTTGCTTGTAAATCTACTAAACTTTTTTACTGCATACGCAATATCCGGATGTGTGCAGTTTGTAATATACATTAGATTTTGAGATTTAGGCGATGCGTGTTTGGTGAGAATACCGTCAATGATGTGGCATTTAACTGCCAAATGGAAATTCCGTCTGCTACGTAAGCAATGATTAGTCATGATATTTTTTGGGTGAGCAATGAAGTGTAACGATATAAAGTTCAGTGAGTAATGGAATGCAAGTTGAATTATAGTGAACGAAACGTGACGCTATCTAAAATTCAATGCGTATTCAAACGATTAACTTTGTTACTACGTGATATAAAATTATTTTGGATGGGAATTTTTTTCATTTTGGATTTTTATTATTGGGTTGGGGAAGAAGATGGATGAGGGGTGGGTTAGGTAATCAAAAGATTATGATGAAGTGGGTTGGAGAAGAAAATGCAAATGGGTGGGGAAAATAAAGTCTTAAATATTTGGAATTATGGGGACACATAAAAATATTGGATATAATTTGCAAAAAAAAAAATTGAAAGTTTGTATACCGAAACTACAATTATTCTTTTTTAATTTTGCTTTTTTTTTTTACTCATCGGTGCTTAGAATAAGATGAGCACCGGTGCTCATTAGATCATTTCTGTATATATATATATGTTATTTGTTTATTTAATTAAGGTGACTTAAATTTTTATTTTTAAATATATTTTATGGATAGGGAATTGTAGAAACTACCATATTTTATGTGAGAACTTCACAGTGTTGTAATAGAACCACGTAAATTTAATTTTAAATGAAAATTTTCAAAAGTTTTTTGAATTTTACAAAAATATATAAAAGTTTCAAAATGAAAATCTATAGAAATCTACGAAACACTTTTTTTAATTTCATGCAAATCTATAAAAGTCCATGAAATACACAAAAATCGTTACTTAAAAAGATTTATAAAATTTTTCAAAAGTCTCAATTGAATATAACTCATACTTTAGGATTCAGAAGTTTAACTTGTTACATATTGGTCCAATTGTTGACACAATGACAAGATGCCTCAACTAGATCAATGTCCAAGTTTAGTCAATAGTTCTCAATCTTTGATTCTCATTGAAACCATGTTGTCAACCTTTATTTCGTAATATTTTTATTCTCAAACTTTGAATAACCGATCCAGGGCGTGTTCGGTAGAGATTAAAATCAGATTAAAATTGAAAAAACTAGCCGTTATTGTTGAATTTTATTAGACGAGTGTGACCCAATAACGATTATATTTTCAATTTTAATTCAATTTTGATCTGTACCAAACAAGCTCTCAGTTTGTCCTAAAGAACATTCTATTTAATTATCAAGTTAAAATACATTAAAATAAAATTATGCCCTCGTTTTTAAATAAATAAAAAAATAAAACACAAGCATTAAAAATTAAAGAAAAATGAAATTTATCTTCCACCCACCTTAGGGATGGCAAAACTCCTCTTCGCGAAATCCTCGAACTTGTCCTACCTCTCTAAAATCCTCGGTGGAGAGGGGAATGCCTAACTTAGAGTTTGTTTGGGAGAGATTTTTTGGGGAATAATTAATTTTGAATAGTGATATGATGGGAAATGTGTGGTTGAAAAAGAAGAAAAAAGTATTGATGTGATAGAAAATATTATTTTATTGAAGAATGTGTGGTTGAAAATGAGAATTGATTTGAGAATTGATTTGAGAATCAGAAACAAACAGGGCNTGATTGAAAATGAGAATTGATTTACTGTAAAAAAATCTAATCCCTTCCAAACAGGGCCTTATTGCCATCAATAAGCCACATACCCCAAATAATTGACATAATTACAATAAAGGTCTCACTTAAAGAAAAATGAAATTCATCTTTCAATTATCTTAGGGATGACGAAACTCCTTGTCAAGAATTTCTCGAACTTGTCCTACCTCCCTAAAATTCCTGATGAAGAGGGTAATGCCTACCCTGCTGCCATCAATAATCCACGTACCCAAAATAATTGATATAATTGCAACGATGGTCTCATACAAGGATAACCATAATACCAAGGTTTTGATAGAAAAATCGTCTAAAAAATATTCCAGCCACTTTCAGTTGTTAAGCAAACAAATGGGCCTCAAGAAATTTCTACCATCGAACATCAATCGCTAGTTGATGGTGACGACAATGGCTACGCCATCTCCACTACAATTATAGTTATTGTTTGGGATTGTAGGGTGGTTGAAAGATGAATTTTATGGTCTTTCATCTTGCGTTTCATTTTTTGTTTATTTAAAGATATGATACAATTGTTCTTTTATAACATTTTAGGTTGTTAATTAAAGAAAAGAGTAAAAGTGTTTTTTCTGCTAATTATACAAAGTTTGAGGATATATATGTTATAAAACAAAGATTGGGAACAGGATTAATTGTGGGTCAATGGTTGAGGACCAGTACTGTACTATACTCATATATTGAGATTTCATTTTACTGGAAAATTCATTAGCGCGGTATTTTCTTCTAGGCGGCAACATTCCCGCCCAAATCTCAACACCCATGGAATCTACTATAAATCACACCAGAAAACCCACATTTCTTCATCGCTCACTGTCTACACACAACGCACACTCTACAGAAATTCACATATAGCGAATAGCAATAGTATATACGCAGCCGGCAAGCATGGTTGTGGCTTTGGGTCCCGGAAAATTCTACGGCAGCAGCCTGCCGAGGCCGCGGTTCTACACAGATGTAAAGCTGAACGATGAAAGGGTGGACCCACCGCCTTCAGTCATGGATCCGTTAATGTCGTGGGCTGACGAGGCTCACTGGTCCATGGGTGGCCTCAGCTTCAAGCGCTACCGTCTCCAGGGCCGGATTGAGGGTAATGTGAACAAGCTCCGTGCTCAGCGTGAGAAGATGTTCAATAAATCTCATAATTCTGCTGTGTCTCACTCTGAAAAGAGTAAAAATGGGAGAACGCCGTAGCCATCGCCTTCGCCGCCTCCGGCTCCGGTGGCAAATAAGAGGAGACGTGTTGTTGGTTTGGTGGACGAGGAAGAGGAGGGGCTCGGATCTGGGAGAGAAATCAAGAGAGGGGCAGTGAGGAAGTTGGGTGATGATTTTGAGAGGGTGGCGCGTGAGAGTGGGATGAGAGGGAAAAAGGCAAGTCCGGCAAAAAAAGTTGCCGTCGGCGGCGGTGAGGTTTTGGCGGCAATGACAAAGAGTAAAAAGGAGGTTATGAATGGGGTAAAGGCTAGGAAGGGGAAGAAGCTGGTAAAGGGTGGCAAAAGTGTTGGTGCTGCGGTGGTGGCTGCTGCCACTTCTCGGCTTAGAAGCTCGCCTCGTCTGGCGGCGCGAGGTTGATTGACGTAAAGGAGTTTGATGAAATTCCTCAATAGGATGAAGCCGTAGGTCCGTAGATTTTTCTGGGTTTTATTTATATTTACTTGCAATTTTACTTTCTGTTCTTTTTCTTACTGAGATTTGGGATGCAACATCATTGCAGCTAACTTTTGATGTAAATTTCTTGATTGGGAACGAAAGATTAATTTACTTCTGTCAATTGAAATATTATATTTTGGGATTGAATCTGAATTGTAATTTTGGCTGATGATTGTAATTTCTTGATCTCTCTGCTTTCACTGTTTCTTTATTCTACAAAATACCACAATTTTTTTTGAAAAGAAACTTCGCGATTGACAATCAACTAATCAATTCAAAGAAAAGGCTATAAAAGAAACTAGAATTTTCTAAATTTACTTTGTAAGGTTGTCGAGTGTTTGAAGCACCAAAATCCGGTGTTTAAAACATTTGTTACACAACCTTAAGAGTGTGACTTTATTGGAATGTATGCTGTACACCAGCAGCAGCTCAGCCAAACTCAACTTCAGCTCAAGTTCAAGATCATTTAGGTGCCAATTTTAGTTAGAAAGTAGTTATGTACGTCTGATAATATCAGTTAGTTAGATTCAGTAAGCTCATTCTATTTGTATGGATGATTGAAATGAGTGTATTCTTTTCACTTCCAAACTTATCTTTTCTCTGATAGAGTATTGGTGATATAATATAATAGCTTTCATCACCACTGATTCCAATCATCTGATCTGCTTTTGTATTCTTCTGGCGATGGATAATGATGCTCCAAATAGTTCTCCATCACCAGCGAGCAATTCAGCAACTGATGATGTATCCAATCCGCATTTTCTCCATCATTCGGACAAGTCAGGTCTCATCCTTGTTTTGCAACCATTGATTGGAGACAACTACGCCTCTTGGAGCATATTGATGATGGTTGCATTATCTGTGAAGAATAATTTGGGATTCATTAACGGAACCCTTTCACGACCTGAAGGTAATCTAGAGTTGCTCAAGTTGTAGATCCGTAACAATAACATCGTTACTTCATGGATTTTGAATTCTGTGTCTAAGGAGATTTCTACGAGTGCGCAATATTCTGAATCTGCTTATGAATAGGGATAGATCTAAAGGAACGTTATCACCAAAGGAATGGTCCACATATCTTTCAATTGAAATGAGAACTAATGAATCATACCTAAGGAGACTCATCCGGCAGTACTTATTTTACCAATTGAAGACAATTTGGGAAGAACTTAGTAATTACAAACCTATTTGTTCGTGTGGAAAATGTATTTGTGGAGGAGATAATAAACTCATTGAGCATCATCAAATGCAATTTGTCATGTCTTTTCTAATGGAATTTCATGAATCATTTGCTCAAATTTGGGGACAACTATTGCTAAGGGGTCATATTCTCCCATTAACAAAATGTTTGCATTGGTTTCTGAAGAAGAGAATCAAAGGAAAATCGGCATGACAAATGATGCGGCATGAGCAACTGGTTCCATGGCATTTTATGCTCAAAATGGTGCTAAAAGAATGGTTCAAAATGATGCATAGTGCAGTAAGCTTCAAAGGAAAGAAAGATCGATATGTACTTATTGTGGATACATTGGACATGCTGTGAATAAGTGTTACAAATTTCATGGCTATCCATCGAGGTATAAGCCTAGACAAAAATTTTGACTGAACACACAAGCTGGTCCAAGCAATCAAGCTAGTTGTGCAATGGTTAATCAGATCTCTAAACCCGATGCCGTTATAGATCAAAAACAAGGCAATGATGGAAATGTTGATGGCACTATGCAGACACTCAACCCTGCACAATATCAACATTTGATGAACATGCTAGATAATCATCTCAAGGTTGCAAAATTGGATTAAGAAATTGGTGACAATTCAAGGCATCAAGTAGGTAGATTATGGTGCCACGAGCCATATATGTTCTAATCAGTCACCATTTCACACTTTGCAGCCCATTGAAAATGCATATGTCACACTACCAAATCACATATAGGTTTTTGTAAGGTCGATTGGAAATGTAAAAATTTCATCTGATTTGATGCTTAATGATGTTCTATATCTTCCTTATTTCAAGTTCAACTTGCTGTTAGTAAGTGCATTAACAATGAATTCATCATTATCTGTCAAGTTCCTCACTAATTCTTGCATGGTTCATGATTTGATCACATCAAGGATGATTGACAAGGGGTGAAAGGAAGGCAGATCTTTATATCATTGAATCCAATCTATCAATTCATAATAATGTTTGTCAATTTTCATGTTTAGTATCAAACAATGTAACTAGTCAGATCTGGCACCATAGACTTAGACATTTGTGATTCCAGAAATTAAATTTGTCGAACCAATTACATATTGATTATATTGATCATAGGCATGATACCTTAGCTATTTGTTCTATTTGTCCTTTGGCAAAACAAAAAGAGGCTTTCGTTTGTATCGAATAACTATTTGTTAAACAATGCATTTGATTTGGTTCATTGCGAGGTCTGGGGGCCATATCATACTCCCACGTATACTAGTCACATGTTATTTCTTACATTGCTTGATGACTGCACAAGATTTACTTGGATCTATTTGATGAGATGGAAATCAGATGCAAAGTTCATTATTCTTAAGTTCTTTGCTCTTATTGAAATTCAATTCCACAAAGTAATCAAAACCTTTAGGTTTGATAATACTCAAGAATTGAAGTTCACAGAACTCTTTGATGCTAAGAGTGTTATCCATCAATTTTCTTGTGTTGAAAGACCTTAACAAAATTTTGTAGTTGAAAGGAAACATCAACATCTCCTTAATATAGCAGGAGCATTTAATTTTAGTCAAGGGTATCCATTCAATTCCTAGGCGATTGTATTCTTACAACAACCTTTTTGATTAATACAACTCTAGCTCTAATTTTAAAGAACATGACATCTTTTTCCTTACAGTACGGAACTTCAACTGATTACAATTCACTTAGGGTGTTTGGAAGTCTTTATTTCGCATCCATATTGCCTTTTCATACAAACAAATTTCATTCTAGAGCTAGAGCTTGTGTCTTCCTTGGTTACCCTCCAAGTGTCAAAAGATACAAACAATATGACATGTCTTCAAAGTCCTTTTTTGTTTCCAAGAATGTGATCTTCTATATAAAATACTTTCATTTTCATTCTATAGCTTCTACACCAGACTTGATAGACCCCTTTTCCGATATTTTATTATCAAATATCATTCTTGATTTGTACACCTATCATCCAGCCTCACAATCACCAGCTCCTACCAACAATAACAGTTCAATTGAACACAATGATTCACCTAATGTTGAGCCAATTTATGCTTCTTCTTCTAATTGTACTCAAAGTCTAGATTTCAATCAACTTGCTCACTATACCTAGAAGAACAAAATGGGTGAGTAAACCTCCATCATATCTTCGTGAATTTCACTGTAACCTCTTTGCAAACCAACCACCTCTTGACAACAACTCAGCTTATCCTTTATCTAAGTACATTTCATATAAATCCTTCTCTAATTCACATAGAACATTTCTTCTCAATGTGTCCTCCAATGTTGAACCACAGTTTTATCATCAAGCCATTGCATTTGATCATCGGAATGAAGCAATGGCAGCTGAATTGGCAGCTAAGGAATCGAACAAAACCTAGTCTATAACCAATTTGCCTAAGGAAAATTATTCAATTGGCTATAGGTGGGTGTATAAGATCGAATATGGACCTGATGGAAGTATAGATAGGTATAAAGCGCGTTTGGTAGCAAATGGCTATACTCAATAAGAATGATTGAATTTTATAGACACATTTTCCCCTGTGGCTAAGCTAGTCACTGTCAAGACATTGTTTGCCATTGCAGCCATCAACAAATGACATCTTGTTCAATTAGATGTCAATAATGCCTTTTTGAATGGGAATCTTTTTGAAGAAATCTATATGGACCTAACTCTGGGATATTCTAATTTACTTGCCGATGTTGCCAAAAAAGGTAAGCTAATTTGTAAACTCCACAAATCTATTTATGGTCTTTGACAGGCTTCCACATAATGGTTCTCAAAATTTTTTCAAGCTCTTGTTGCACATGGTTTCCATCAGTCCAAGTCAGATTACTCTCTATTTACCAAAGGTTTAGGTGAATCATTTGTTGCCTTATTGGTGTATATTGATGATATTATCATCACATGTTCAAATCATAATGTCATTCCATCCTTAAAATCATTTTTACACAATCAGATGTCAATAATGCCTTTTTGAATGAGAATCTTTTTGAAGAAATCTATATGTACCTAACTCTGGGATATTCTAATTTACTTGCCGATGTTGCCAAAAAAGGTAAGCTAATTTGTAAACTCCACAAATCTATTTATGGTCTTTGACAGGCTTCTACACAATGGTTCTCAAAGTTTTTTCAAGCTCTTGTTGCACATGGTTTCCATCAGTCCAAGTCAGATTACTCTCTATTTACCAAAGGTTTAGGTGAATCATTTGTAGGGATGGCAACGGCTCGATTCGGGGTCGGTTCGGCCAAAACCATAACCGCACCACCAAATTTTTGGTCATACCATAACCGCACCATAACCACGAAAGTCGGTTCGGTTCGGCTCGATTAATATCTCGGTTCGGTTCGGTTAATAACCACGAAAATAAATTATATTTTATAAATCCAAACTCCAACC